ATTACTGTACCTCTCAATGTACCCAAAACAATATTTATCATGACTACTGTACCTCTCAATGTACCTTAAACAATATTTCCCACTTAACTTATTCCCCTATTTTTGTATGGCCTGAATATTTATGTTTCATTTAAAAACTTTAGCAATTTTTGATATATTTTTAATGATTTATGTTATTATTATTTATAATTGTCTATAACTTTTTAATTCTTCGGTGACATTAGTATTACAAATTTTATATGTTAGTAAGACTGTCAAAAGAAAATCCTTTCAACTGCCCTTGAAATTTTTTAAGTGAAGTACTGAACAACAAATTTAATTTAATATTCTCATAAAATTAAGATTGTGATCTCTAGGCCTACCATTTTTCGACAGTAATTGTTGTTATCACTTTAAGTTAATATTAAGTCAAGAATCTATTCAACCCAGTCATGCAGACCAGCTTTTTTGAGTGGCAATGTATCAAGTAATTATTCATTTAATGTTATTTCCTAATAACTACAATGAACTTAATGTTAATAAGTTAGAATAGATCAGCTTTTTTGAGTGGCAATGTATCAAGTAATTATTCATTTAATGTTATTTCCTAATAACTACAATGAACTTAATGTTAATAAGTTAGAATAGACTACAGTATCAGTAAATAACTACTTTAAAAAATGTAATTACATGTTAGTACTACCTACAAGTAGTTAGTCTTTTTCCTCCATATTTTGAGTCTACTAATTTTTGTCTTGTACTAGTTACTTGTGATAATTTAATAATTACTATTACCTTCGTTTGGTAATTGGTATTATTTCTCCTCAAAATTTTTCTCAAAACGCAAATCAAACTAAACAAAAATTGCATTTAAGATAAACTAAAATGGTGAAATATCATTTAACACTTTCCCAAATAACATAAAGTATACCCTGTCCCTAGTGACTGGGTATAGCACAACCGTACACTTATAATAATGGGAAAAAGTGTTTCTGGTAATTCCTGGCAACTGGATGGGTTATCCCCATAGTCTTATATCACAGTAAATGGCTCTCTTTATGTTATTTTTCTTTTTTAATATGTGGCATGATTTAATTGACCTGAAACCGAACTCCCTTCATAGATCGCGTATTATCTACCACTGAAGCAATTTTTCAGAATATTAATGATAAAATGACACAAACAATAGTTGACTGCACCAACAGGGAAGGTGAGAAAAAGCCTACTACACACTGGCGCTCTTTATCTGAACAGCATTTCAGTGGAATTTTTATTTAGCCACGTTGATGGAAATCCTCTTTTTAGGGCAGCATTTTCAATGAAGAGATTCAGCAAACTTCTGATTCATATTTGCTTTGATAACAACGATGGTTGATCAATCCTTCAGCAAACTTCTGATTCATATTTGCTTTGACAACAAGGATGGTTGATCAATCTTTTCTCGCTCGTGACATCTTTGATCTCATAAGAGATGTATAAGAAGCATTCCTGAGTAATTTTGCAATGTATTATATTCCTGGAGAGAACATCACAGTAGGTGGACAACTGGTTGGTTTCAGAGGTCAGTGCAGATTTATTCAATGTATGATATATGCCAAGCAAGCCCGAAAAATATGGAATAAAACTCTTTTTACCCTGTAAATCCTCTTTGAACTATCCTCTGAAGAGCTGCCCATATCTCTTCAAATTCAAATAAATTGTAAGTGCCCTGCCAGCAAAGAGAAATATTGGAAATCCCCAAAGATTGTGAATTCTCTCACAAGGAAATTCATTGGAAGTAGCGAAAATTTCAGAACAGACTATTATTTCATTCCCCTACAACTTGCAAAACCAATGGCAGAGAACAGACTCACCCTATAGTTGGAACAGTGAAATGGAGCAAGATGTTCCTACCCAATAATAATGTCTGCTCCTCAAAAAATCAGGCTTTTGTTCTTTTGTTCAGACAGGAAACAGCCTTGTCAAAAACCAGAGCTCAAGGCAGAAAATTGTATTGCTCCTGAACACAATACACAATCGTCCAGATATAGAAAGTGAAACTGAATGCAAGAAACCAGAGATAACAACAAAATCAAAGGAGGCATATATGCCATGGACCAAATGGCGAAGGTGTTCTCTGTGAATACAAAAAAGTAAAAGATGGCCTTTGGTTGTGTTTTTCAACATTGTTGACTTGGCATCCACTGCAGCCAATTACAGGCAGCCAATATTGACATTGCACACAAAACATCCCCAGTGTTTTGAAATCTTTACAAACACTTCAAATAGCTGCCCAAACCACTTCAACTCAAGTTTATTAAGACATATTTATATGTGCAAAGTGTAATAACCTATGCTAAAATGTCTTCGAAGAAAAAACCACAAGAAGACAATTGTAAGAGAGAAAAAATAACTGTTGAAATGAAACATAAAATCATTGTAAAGCTAGAACAAGGGGTAGGCGTGGCTAATCTAGCACGCACATACAATCGGTAAACATCAACGATCTGCACTATTTTCAAGAACAAAAACAAAATTAGGGAGATGGATGCTTCAAAGGGGGTGTCAAGAATGTCTTTGAAACGGTTATGTATTCTTGATAATGTTGAGAGATTGCTTCTAATATGGATAAACGAGAAGCGATTACAAGGCGACACTATTAACGAAAACATTATTTGTGAAAAGGCGAAACTTATTTTCGCCCAATACAATTTTCTAAAAAGTATTCCAAGTTGTTACACTCCTTAAAAATTCATAAGTAATTTTATTTGAAAAAATGTTAATAACCTTTTTTGAAAAATTCGTATTTTTTCAGCATGGAACGCAATTATCGTATTTTACATTGGTTTGTATGGGAAAAATTGTTTCGTTTAACGAGTGTTTCGCTTAACGAGTAAGATTCTGAATTGAGAAAGTTTGTAAGACAAAATTTGGCATCGAGTCTAAAGGGACCCGGGTCCGAATAGAGGCTATGCGTGTCTGGGTCCCCTTTAGTCATAGTCATGTTATTATTTATGTTATTAAAGACAATTAAAGTTAAAGCTATTAACTATTATTGTTTGTAGCCTAGTCTAAGTAGTAAGTAGTAGTAGTAGGCGGGGTCTGTATAATAAATTAGACTAGTAATGTGTAAGTAGGCCTATAAATTATAAATATTTTAAAATATTAATAATGTAATTTAAAATAATAAATAATCATTTTTAGCTGATTATCATATAAAATGTAAACATTATACATGAAACTTTTTATTTAAAAATTATTATCCTATTATTATTATTAAAATTATTACTTTACCACCCATAATTATAATACAGTCAAACCCACTTATCTCGACCTGGGTTAACTTGCCGACCCTGTTAAGTCAACGCTTTTGACTTGGAACCGCCAAATTCTCTCTACTCTTTGTCTTTGCATTTTCGCCTCGGTTATGTCGATTCTTTTATGTTGCAGAGTCCTAATATCTCGAGCACAAAAGGGAGGCATATTTGCCACTTGACCTTAGTAATAACAATCCCCAAGACCAATTGCCAGCTTTTGAACTCCGCAAGAAGAAATAGCAAACAACAAATAAACAAGTTTTGCATAATTAAAAATAATTATTTATTTCTCAAAATACAGGACTTGTGTTTAAGAATGAACCTAGAATTAATTTAAATGAATATGTTTTAGTTTGAGGTTTAAAAACCCGGTAGAGTCCATATTGTAAATGATGATAATTTGCCGAGTGCAAAACGTTGTCATTGGCAGCCATTCACGGTCACTTGCAAAATGGCTATGTGTAGTACTGCCTTAGAGTTTCACTCATAAGAGTTTGCCATGTGCAAAAACTATTAAACCATTGGTCAGGGAAAGCATTAATTAAATAGTCACGTGCCAAAGTTGAAAGTTCAAAATAAGTAATCCCTAAATAGTATTTAAGTAATGAGGGGATGCTTTGCCTTATACTTATATAAACTACATAGTCATTGCACATGATGCAGTTAGCAGAATGAGTTCACAAAATGTGGATGCTTTGTCATAGTAGAAAATACCAAAGGAACTTGCATGTTAAAAATTCGCAGCTCAAAAAGTACTAAAGCTAAAAAGTTGATTCTGATTTCATTTTTTTAATTTAAAAATTGCTCTAAATAACTGTAATATTTTTTTATTTTTTTTTACTGAAGTACCGTACTTACATTTATTAATGCTCATTTATCTGGATCATCGGTTATCTCAAAGCTTTTTGGCCAACCCCAAGGCCGACGACATAACCGGGTTCTACTGTATAATAATTTTGATGTTTAATCATGATATTAAGATAAATAATAAAAGCATAAAAATACAAACACTTTGTTCTTGTAATAGCAATATTTAATGTAATAATACATTCCTTCCATCATTGCTTTTTGAGCACTGTAAGTATGAAATCGAATCATGCCAATAATTAATATTAACTTTCTCAATTATAATGATTAATAATATTAATCTAAATTTCAGTTAATCTGTATAGGCAGTTCTGGTACAGAAAAGACATGTTTAATAAAGCATTTCTGTGACAGCAAGGTAATTGTTTTTACCATATAACACAGGAATAGGCAACTTACAGCCCAAAGGTCACAAACATTTAAGCTTAATGCAGCCCACTAGATCTTCCAGGACAGGGTTGATTTTTTCATAAAATGTATAAATTATAAATTATTTTTTTGTAAAAGCCTTTGGAAATTAATAATCACAGAGTAAAATGTTCCAGCTGTAAGACCCGGTATCAATAATAAAATCAAATTAAAAATTATTCCACAGCTTATATTTTAAATTGAAATTTAGTGAATTTCCGAAGCCCCATTTCAAAAATATTTATTTAAAAATTATCATGCTTCCTACCCAAAAAAATTTCCATTAGGCCCTCAGCACAAAAAGGTTGCCTACCCTTCATATAACTGGAAAGTTATTCCCCTAAAATTTAAATGTACCGGTAGATAAAGTTCAGGGTTAATAAAAACTGGGGGTAAATCCATAGCAAAATAATTATGTTTTATATGCAAGTAAAGGAAAGAGTGTGGAAAAGTTTTGAAGGCTAGTTCTTCATACACGCTGAAGTAGCATGGATAAAATAAATATTCATTTCAATTCAACAAGCATCAAAATAAAGTATAAAGTGCAATGACAGATATGTACATAGTAAGATATCTTTTGCCACTTTCAAGGGGATTCATTCAACTGCATAGAAAATTTAATCAAACACACATACTTAAACAAATTTTACAGCTACATCTTCAATTTTTAATGGTGCAAATTTGAGGTAGGAAAACTTTTTTGTCCGCAAAACAAATGAATCAAGGAAAGTTTATGTCACATCATGTTCAAAGGAAATCATATCTGCTCCCAAATTATCCAAAATCTTTGTGGGGGGGGGGGGGTTGCAATCACCAACACATATTCATATAGGTGCAATGGCTATGGTTTGTAAGTCGTATCTCATTTTAATTTTGTTTAAATTATTTTTGAGAAATAATTAAACAATATTTCCTATCAATACAATAAACTAGCTTTAACTTCTACATTAACAAATAGAATCCCTTTAAAAAGAGGAGAAAAAATTCCCTAAGTATGCTTTGGTTTTTTCATGTGTTGTCAATAATTTCTCTTGCTTCCTTCACAATCTAATTTTTTTTTTTTAATTATTGAAAAGTTAAAGTATACTTATAAAAAGCAGTACAACTTTCCAGTTCAATTCAGGTTACCAGGCAACAGTTGGGGTAGATTATGGATTTAAAGTTCAGCATCTCAATGGAATTGACTGTAAGTTTTTAATAAATAATATCAGATGCATTTTGTACAGCTGCATCTCTTTATGCAAGGATTCATCCTCAATTTTATTCCATTTTCTTAATTTCTAGTATAATAATGTATTAATTTTATATATTATAATCAAAACTAATTATAGTTTGGTAGACTTTATAAAGTTTATAAAGTGGTTGCAAAAAATTCCAAGAATGTATTCAGGAAATTGATTTTAGAAGTGCTAGTTATCCTTGTATTTGTAGATTATGTCATCCACAAAGACTAAACAGAGTGCCACATGATGAATTAGGTGCAACGCCATCCAGCTTTATAAAATAATACAATCAGAACACACCCGCTGCTAAAATAACAAACTGGGTTAAAATTGCCCTATGTTTTCAATTAAAATGTAAAATTTATTTGGAATGTATTCACTCAAAATAGTTGAAAATTTATTTAAAAACTACGTAAGTACCGGTATCAAAAAAAAAATAATTACCCTTGTCATTCTATGAAATTTTGCCTTGCATGAAACAATCTATAATTAGGATGCACCTTAATTATTACAGTGAGAGTTCACCTCTGGGACTTGTCTGGCAGTTCAGAATATTTTGAAGTGAGAAATGAACTCTACCCAAAGACAGATGGCATCTTTATTGTCTATGATATCACCAACAGTGCATCGTTTGAATCCCTAGACTACTGGCTAAAGGAAATATCAAAATACTCAACCACAAGGCCTGTGATTTTTATAGTTGGAAACAAGGTAACAACAAACAAAAGAATCAAAGTGTTGTTTCATAAAAATTATCTGTATTGCGAAAGTCCTTTTCTTGATCATACCTTTAACAATTGTAGACTTTTTAAAGCTTTGTTCTAGATATTAGGATTTTTATAGTTGGAAACAAGGTAACAACAAACAAAAGAATCAAAGTGTTGTTTCATAAAAATTATCTGTATTGCGAAAGTCCTTTTCTTGATCATACCTTTAACAATTGTAGACTTTTTAAAGCTTTGTTCTAGATATTAGGATTTTTATAGTTGGAAACAAGGTAACAACAAACAAAAGAATCAAAGTGTTGTTTCATAAAAATTATCTGTATTGCGAAAGTCCTTTTCTTGATCATACCTTTAACAATTGTAGACTTTTTAAAGCTTTGTTCTAGATATTAGGATTTTTATAGTTGGAAACAAGGTAACAACAAACAAAAGAATCAAAGTGTTGTTTCATAAAAATTATCTGTATTGCGAAAGTCCTTTTCTTGATCATACCTTTAACAATTGTAGACTTTTTAAAGCTTTGTTCTAGATATTAGGATTTTTATAGTTGGAAACAAGGTAACAACAAACAAAAGAATCAAAGTGTTGTTTCATAAAAATTATCTGTATTGCGAAAGTCCTTTTCTTGATCATACCTTTAACAATTGTAGACTTTTTAAAGCTTTGTTCTAGATATTAGGATTTTTATAGTTGGAAACAAGGTAACAACAAACAAAAGAATCAAAGTGTTGTTTCATAAAAATTATCTGTATTGCGAAAGTCCTTTTCTTGATCATACCTTTAACAATTGTAGACTTTTTAAAGCTTTGTTCTAGATATTAGGGATATTATTATAATATCTTTCACTTTCAATAATAAATTTCTTGAGGTACCAGTTTTAAATGAAATTATTCTTCAGACTTATATAAGCCTTAAATCATTTATCTGCCCTCCATGCATTTTTTAGTTTTCATTTTTGTATGAACATTATTTATATTACATTTACCGGCAAATAAAGTTGACAACCCGAAAAATGAATCTAAAATGTGAGGAAAATAAATCTAAAAGGAATTTCACTGTTAATTAATTTTTTTTAAACATTTCTTGTGAGGAGAAAAAATATTTTTATCATAAAAATTTCTTTAAGAAATTAATATCGACTTATTTAATTGAAATATTTTAAAATTTTTTGTTGAAATGGACTTTGAGAATGGATGCAACATGGCTGAACACTGAGGGATGGCAGGGCGCCGATAATGAGAGATATTGTTCATTTAGTTGTTTCAATTATGTGTTAGCTCATCTCTCGAAATCAATCAAGGCCATTTAATTTTAATCATCGGATTGGTGATGGGATCGCTACTGTCTAAGGGTGGGCAGATGGCGGATAAGAATGATTCTGGCACAAAATATTCTTGTACAGCAAGTGCAAGGGATGGATGTGACATCTCCAGGTGCAAAGTTAGCCTTGGCTTGTCTTTTGTGACTTCAGCAGCCGATCTATTGGTTTCATGTTTATACCGCCTTGCATAAGGTGGAATGCCACAATGCTCCATCCTTTACTAATTCTTTTCACAAGTCCAGGTTTCATGATATGATGCTTTGATACTAGCAACACCAGCCAGAGGTCTCCAACCTTTTGTATAAAAGAACCATACTAAAGAGACAATATATGAAAGACCAGCATTGTGTTATTTTAAATATTCAGAGTGCAGGCTCTATAATTTTCTTCATTCATGTATTTGAAGGACCATAAATTGGCAAGCATTGATTTAAAAAGTTCCAATGGAGGACAAGGTAGCCTGAAATGCAGGACTGAACATGGAACTCTCAGAAATATTTCGGCCTATCTTGTACAACACCTACAAGTTATTTATATGATGTTTGAGTTAACTTGGTATAACGATGGCATATTTCATTATCTTTCATAGATAGACTTGCAGCAGAAAAGGGCAATAACACTAGTGGATGGAAAGACATTTGCTCACAACAACAAATGCGGGTAAACTTTGTCATGTTCGTGGGCAAAATGTGAATATGTTACAGTGCATGTTTAAGTTATAAAGTCTCACCAAAATTAACATTTAATCTGTATGTGGTACAACAGGAGTTGTCAGGAAATGTAAAAACAAAGCAACTTGACCTAATTTATTTTTATTTATTTTTTTTTAAATTTTTTTTTTAGATATTTTGAAACATCTGCACTTACAGGAGAAGGCATTAGTGAGATGTTCCAAGAACTGCTGTTCAATATAATGAACAAGAAGACAGAACAGTCCACTGGTGGGTTAAATAAGAGCAAAATTCTGTAAAAAAAAAAGGGAGATCCAACAAGTGATGGATAGTTTCAAGTCATCACAGGTTTTTGACTGCCAAAGGATAACAAGTATGAAGAGAATTCTTAATGAAGTAAGAACAAAGCAAAAAAAACCAGAGGAAGCTAAAAACAAATATCGGCCACCTTCCCAACAGGAAAACTACAGCCAAGTACAATTGATAACATTGACTTTCCTCATTGAAACATGAGTAGCCCACCCGGCAGAAAGTGACTGGTTTTGTATCTTGTATTGGAAAAATATCCACTCGAATTTTGAATAAATTTACTAACATTGTTCACACCCATAAAGACAGCATTGATGTAAAATTCGTGCATGTAAAATCATATTTGTTGTTGATATGAAGAAGATACATACAAAGCTTTTACATTTATTTGTTCACTATTTATAGACAGAGAGGAAACAGAGAGGAACAGAAGAGGATAGTTTTCATGTCATCTGTGGCACCCCAATGGTCCAAGGACTAAGGGACATGATGATGATGATGATGTATAAGATGCTGTTTCTGTAGAGACGTTCCAAAAACAAATATTCGTGTACCCTGAAGTGTTAGCTGAATTCTTTTCAGTAATTTAATATGTACTTCATAAATGATTTGATCAGACCAGGGATACTTCCCCAAAATACTGTAATGTAAATAATAAACCGATTTATTTCAAAGAAAGCAAAAAATAGACAAATGTATTCATTCTTCTTATTTTGTCAATTTGATTATTCCAAATGCTTGATAGCAGGCGCAAATATAGAATCCCTGATCAAAAGTTTTGAGTCAGTTTTTAAAAAATTCCAGTCAAGAGATCGTGTAGGCAAATAGTGTGTGAGGTCATTAGATAGCAGACGTAATGATTTTGACTGAAAGTATGTAATAATATTGCGAAATGCAGTTATTGCAATAAACCTCTGTGTCGAAGTGCTTCTTTGAATCTTAAATCCCAAAACAACATCTTTGGGCGACATGTCACTGGGCAATGCTATTCGAACCAACGCACACCACCATGTGATTTCAACTTGAAGCTGCACCAAAATAAGTTGAAGCCGCATAAAGAAATTACAAATATTTAATTATAGAACAACTGATATTTTTATGCATCTGCAGTGGCTACTTGATAGAAAGGCAAATTGTTCTCATCGGAATGAGTTCCAGGAAAAAAATCCTGACTTGGTTTCTTAATAAAATTCCTTATAAGCTTTGTCAAAATTGTTAATTTAAACTCTATAGCACTATATATATATATACACCTAATGACTCATTGGTAATATTAATAATAACTTGCAGAAAGCAAGAATCAGAATCAAAACACAAAAAACACGAAAAGATGAGTGTTCCATTAATTTAATTAAACCAACAGATTTGCTTGAAATAAAATCATTCTGTATGAAAACTCCCTCTTAGAATAAAAAAAAAAAAATATTTTACATGCTTCTTTTACCACAGTCACAGATACATCAGATTATTCATTAAAAATGTAAAATGCTTTCATACATATCCGGTAAACAAATCTATATATGAAAAAATAATTTAAATAGCGCACATTTTTTAAAATCTATTTAAACTGTAAAATGAGGATCATTAAATCATGCATATATTACAAGGAGAGAAACAAAATTTCATTCAAATTATTAACCTAGACATTTTAACACAACAATATTTGATCCCCTTAATCAAGAATTAAAAGTAATTAAGTACATGCCCTGTGATTAACACAAAAAATAACGAAGTCATCATGGCCTGTTCAACACCCAATACTTTTTTCAGATCCTCTTCAATTTGACCTATTGTAAATGAAGTTTCATGTTTTTATTTGTACGTAAGAGTGATTTACTTTATGGAACATGAGGAGAAGCATAAAGGGTAAAAGCAGGCTGCTGACCACCAGCCAGTGGTTGCCCAAGATGGTCTGCAAGTCCAGAATCTTGTTTCGTAGCCAACTTCAGGCAAGCAAAAGACTTATATCCCGATATTTTCTGACACAAAGTAAAACCCATAATAAATTAATAATTTTACTTCCTGTTGATAAAAGCCCGAAGGAAAAAATTAAATAAATAAAGCTGAAAAAACAATCCTAATGATTCTTCTCAGTATTACAATTTTCAGAATTTATTTAAAATGCATCATTTGTATTAATATTTCATGATTTGATATTTTACAAAGGGCATACAATTTATTTTAAGATGCACAGATCCAAATTGTTTTATGCACTATGTTATACAAATAACAGTAGGACAGATGACTAAACTAATCTTCACAACTCTACTGATGTCTACAAGAGGTACTTGAAATGTTTATCTCATTCAATTAGAATAAAGTAATCATTCATTAACATTTGTTTATATATGCATGCATTAGTTGCTCACATTTTCAAACTTAATTTCTAAATTTTCCCACATCAAAGCATTCTTTTTTTTTTTATTCATTTTAAAAAGAAATAAATGTCAATTATTGGAATATAATAACAATGGAAAAAATTCTAAACTAACAGACTATAAATAAATGAGGCAGTCCATGTGTCAGATCTGATCAGCACAAAGTATTCAAAAAGGTGAACCAACCTGTCTAGTCTACAAACTTGTTGCCCATCATAGAAAAAAATAATTGATCAGACCAGGAATACTTCCCCAAAATACTGTAATGTAAATAATAAACCACTGCATTTCAAAGAAGCAAAAAATTGAAAAAATGGGTTCATTCCTCTATTACATAGTGTCAGTCATGCAAATATTTACAACATAACAATAAATAGTGTACACATTTCATTTAGTCTTGTCTTCTTTCAGTTTATAAAAGCAACAATATTTTTTTAATATATATTATTAATCCCCACAGGAAATTAAAAGAAATTATGTCAGAGCTGGAATCATAAGTGTTTGTAAACATGATTTAATCATGAATGAATCAATTTAAAATATGGTATCCGCAACTGGTAGAAAAATAAATTGAAGAATAAATTGTTCAACAGGTGTATGTTATTACAATATAAATTACAAGATATTTAATTTGTAACCAAATTTATGTCACTGAGCATTTACATCACTGAATGTTGAACATTTGATTTTATTTTATTTATTTTTTAAATGTTCAGTATTTTGTGAACTCTAGTGTCAAATTGTTTTGATTGTTCACAGTAACACAATTCTTTCAGCTTTTTCTTTTTTCTTCACTAATTTCATTTTGATTTTTTTTATTGACATGAACTAATAGCTGGCATTTAACATTACTGATTTTCAAATTTTAATTGTGGTCAGCAAATGATACCTCGTTACTAAACCCCACCCCACTTAATCCCCCCATGAAAATATTTTTTTTTGACTAAAAGCTTTCAATTGCAACACCATGAAAGGTTTAATACTACATACAACACACCTGTGGCTGGTAGACATATATAGCTTAGTTTCATTAATTTGAATTCACTAAACATGGTTACAGATTACTGCATAAACAAAACTAAACATATATACATATTATATTAATTGGTTTTATTCTTAAGTAGTGACGTCATTATGATTAATTGTCCCATAATTTTATATACAACAGTTTATATCACTGAGCGATCGATTCTTTGAAATAGAGAAGAATGTAATCAATTTAGGGAGTCTGCAAAGAATCTTTACACTCTCAAATAATGTTTATTAAAAAAAAATATTATACAAATAGTTCATAATAAAAAAAAAAATTTAAATTATAAACACAGAGAAATAAGCACAACAATTTCATGTCCTCATATTAATTAAGTTTATAAACCCCCAAATTGCTATTTCACATATTTTATTAACCACGCTACTAATGAGAAAAGTTTACTATTTCAATTGACAAAGTTTAGGACTACACTTGTCTCAATAAAATGGTTCTATGATTATTAAATAGCAATTCAACAAAAAATAATTTTTTAAAACATATTTACATTTTTCTGACTATATATTTTGTAATAACTAATATTTATAAAGAGATTTCCACATTACGGAAGCATGAGCCAACTTGCCAGACTGGCTTAGCCATTGCCACCACTAATCTCCTGTTCACACAGAATATCAGCTTAACACCTGATAAATTGAGCAATGGCAATGTTCAAAATTTTTGGCAAATACAAACAGAAATATTAATATATATTGCTCTATATTATATCTGTTGGTTAAGAGGCACATGAAATTGTTGCAGCTGATATGTAACTTTTGCTCATTGGATATAAAAAATATTTTTAGTCCTCTATCAAACACAATGAAAGGGCAAACTTTCAGTCTATATACAATCTTTTTGTCAATTTTTAAGGAGATGACAATGCCATCTCATGAGACATCAGACTACCAATAAATCATGATTCCGGTGAGAATGATGGCAAACTTTCAGTCTTTAGACAATCTTTTTGTCAATAGTTAAGGAGATGACAATGACATCTCATGTGACATCAGACTACCAATAAATCATGACTCCAGTGAGAATGATGGCAAACTAATCGTAGAAAATGGTATAATTTTAGATGCAATGATCATATTGTTTTTGAATTGACAAAAGTATAAATAAATTTGAATTGACAAAAGTATAAATAAATTTACACAGCCGGTCATAGGATAGTCGGGCAGTAGGTGAGTGAGGCATTTGGGTAGTAAGACAATAGAGCAGTAGATGAGTCGGGTAGTGAGGCAGTAGGTGAGTGGGACAGTATGCGAGTGGGACCTTTGAGCAGTAGTTAGTGGGGCTGTAGGTGCATTGGGCAGTAGGGTAGTGGTGAAGTAGGTGATTGATTAAGGGTCAGAACTGAGAATAGCTTGGTGGCTCTAGAAACTGGCTGATTAATGAGTTAGACCAATTTCTCTTCAAACTGCATTGGTCAGTCTGTTATAAATAAACTTAAAACTTAAACATTTTTTTGATGACTTTGTAGCTCTAATAAAAAACATCTTCTTTATGAGGGCATTAACAGCACCCAACATGATTTTGAAAATGTAAGCATCCCAGATTTACCTTTGAATAAAGATATGCAACTGTTAACTACATGTAGGCATCAAGTGGCCAACACTAACTGAAATATACAACTCTTGTGTTGTGTACAATAGTGGATTATGTCTCTAAATGTTTGCTAATGTATACAATATGAATGCGCAAAAGACATCAGGGACTCTGATCCTTGGGACCATAATTAATGAGGATTGCATGAAGCTATGTGTAAATAGGCATGTGCAAACAAATTTATGCAAACTTAAATTACAAATATCGATAACAAATAACTTTGACAGAGGACCACATAGTCCTATTACAACCAAGTGACACTCTGACAGCTTTAGTCCCATTTTAACAAATAGTCTTCATTTATAAAACTAAATGAAGATATCATTTAAAAAAAGGGTTCACTCACAACAACAACTGATTGATTGGAGCCAAATCAGATGTTCATCTCAGTGCATAGTTTTCAAATCAATATAACGATCCACTCTGTCCTGAACATATGTTTCATTTCATCTACTTTTAAATCAAATTTGACACATTCATGAGACAAAAAAATCATTCGATTAGATAGACATCATAAAGTACTTTTCAAGCCACAAAGCTCACTTTTTAAAAAAAACTATTAAACTACTCTATAAATCTATTTGAAATAGAATGTCAACAACTACAAACTCGATTCATTACAAAAGTAGACAGCATACAAACTCAGTGACAGAAAAAAAAGGTTGTCTGATGATACCAGACCTTCTCTTTCATTTTATTTATTCTAAAGCTCTTACACATTATTGCATTGAATTACATTAATAAATTATTTTCTTGTTTTAAGATTAAAGTTTCTAGGAAAAAAAAAAAAAAAATCGTCTGCCAAAAAAATATATCAACCATATACCGAAATTTTATTGGAACAAGGGCAATAGTTGACAAAATACAGTCACAGCAACAGCCAACAAACTACGGTCACAGCAACAGCCAACACAATACTGTCACAGCAACAGCCAACAAAATACGGTCACACAAAGTGGAATCAAAATAAACAGACAATCTTCAAGTGTATTTTACCTTGTGTAAACAAATAATATCTAGTGCTCTGATGATCATTATTTTGTGTTTTGAAAACTTACCAACAAAAAAAATTAGTTTAACCGTGCAGAATGAATCGATTGCACTGAGAGAGCCAAATTTTTATTTTGAATTCAAATTAATGCCCACCTCTTTTTTTTAACATTCCTCAGCTTTTCCCTATTGTATCAAAAGGTTGTCGGACATGCTTTGTTTTAGAGATT